ATATTTCTCATTTTTTTGATAATCGTTTGCATAGTAGAGTTACTGCATTTATTTGTGGAAACTTTGATATACTTGTATATTACTAGTATGCATATATATACTAGTATATACTTGTATTTTTGCTTTAATTTTTTATGCAATAACCATTAACCTTGGCAGTCGATTTCAGCAAAAAGTACGTATACCCATTAGCATATAAGTTTATAAAACGTTGTTGAACTAGGGTGTCGGAGGTGCCCCGGGGCATGCTCTCTAGATTAGGCTTTTGCACCCTGGTGGTATGTGAGAGAACCGTGGAGTGAATGGGTGGGTATATATGTTTTTTTTTTAAATGGGTAAATATATGGGTAATAGGCAGGCAGGTAGCATACTTCTCTGAATGAATGTGAAAACTTTAATTTTAAGTATGTAGGATCTAGGAAAGGCACTAGACTTCTTGCTTCCACTCCGGAGTGGAAATTCCACCTCCTGGTTTATACAGAATTGTTACAAAATCTTATCATCTCACTCTATTATGCTTGATTTGTTAATTTATTTTGTAACTATTTTGTGATCTTTATTATGTATCATGATTCAAAGGTATTTGCAACCATTTGAAAGATTCATTTCTACTTCGATTTTATATCGAACGAGATAGAGTCGAATCAAATTCGCAAATTCTTTGATGCATTTGATATTTAGTTTTAAGTATTTCAGGATTAGCGCTACGCAATATAGCTATTTCCTCTTACAGCTAAGAATATTGGATATAATTAATAAATAAACTAATAACGAATTAATGAAATGAAGGTATTGCAAGAWAATGCATTWCATTTATTGCACTATTTATTTCAATTCGATTTTATTACTCGACGTTAAAAGTGCGAAGTGTTATTAGGTCATCGAGGGAAATTATTATCTGCTTGGACATTCGATTAAATTTGCTTGTGTATGATCAATGAATTTTAAGTTCATTGATGGCCCACGAGTTAGAAAAATGAACGAAGATAGTAAATAAACTTTTTAATAATTAAGAATTAGAATCGTAATAAACTACGGGCTAATTTGCAAAAGTAATATAAAAGATCTTATCTTGCTTGCACATTGAAAATATCCAAATGCAGTTTTCAAGGAATGAAGAGAGAAGAGGCTAAAAGCCGAAGAGGCCCCCACTTAATTGTAGCTGAAGAGGGCAACTACAGGCTATCGAGTTATTTTCAAAGGTTCAACAACAAGTTCGAAACTTTAGAGAATGGCTCTCTAGTCATATTTTATATTTTATTGTTTTACTCTTTTGATCGTCATTAATTTGTAGTAGTAATTGGAGATGATGGATCATTCCATCTCCTTGGGACACCAAGTTCGTGTCTAATCGTCAAAAAGATGCATTTGTTTTTATTTAGTTAGAGTCATAAATATTGAAATTTTCGTATTATTAAATTTTTGAGTTTAATTAACTTTTTGTAAATGTTACAGTAATTTTTTTTATATTGTTCCACCTTTAATATTTTTCATTGTGATCCTATTTTATTAATTTGGCAATTTTTTCTTTTCTATATAATACAGTTTAAAAATTTTAGTCATAATAATTAATGGATATTATTTTCTATAGTAACTTAATATTTGTACTTTTACTTTTATTTGTTTTTTTTTTAATTTTTTGTAAATTTAAAATCACGCGTTTAAATTTAATTTTATTGCAACAATAAATAGATATTTGATAAAAATAAATAAAGAATTAAATTAAATAGTGCATCTGCGAATTGGACGATTCATATGTTAGGCTACTTATATCACTTGATTGTATGAATAATATAGTTTTCTTTTTGTTGTTACAGGTAAACTTCGTTGGATTTAACAACAAACCAATGACTGCTTTTCATAATATATATATATATAGAAATGCATTTCTGAAGGCACACATATAAACGCTAAATATGAAATATATATATTTAAAAGTCCATAATAAAAATAACATTGAATATTTGCGCAGATTTACAAAAGATTTTAAATATACTTGTTAATAAAATGTTTAATTTCCTAACATATCTGTTTCAGGATTTAAGAACTTAAAGAATCTACTTGTCTTTTTTATTTTTTAAATGAATATCTATCGATTTTTGCTTTGATAAATCATCGAACGTATTATTTTCTCGAAGCTAAGAGAAAGTAATGACAACGATGAATTTTGATTATAATTTCTATTAGAATCTCTTTCGGGGGTCGCTTACCAGATGACCTTGGACCGGAAGAAGAAAGTTTGTCCTCCCTCCCAAGTTAAGAGATATCAGAAACGTGCTCTCGTTTTAACGGAATCACGAAAGTATTTGGGTCAGCAATTCGAAGGTATGACCGAGTTTCATTCTTGTCCTCTCGAATTCTATATCATCGAGGTTGCTAATATTTTTTTTTTTTACAATCACTTTAACATCTTATCACGCGAGAATATTCTTTGTAAAGGAATATAATAATAGGTTTATTATTTTTTTTTTTTTGACTGTATTTATTTGACGTACGAGATCTTACCTTTGCCAGCCAGGTTATCGTAATCATTTGAAAAAGGTAATATTCGGTTTTTTTTTTTTTTTGAAATAAATTATTTCCATCGATATATTATTGCGGACGAGTGTATTGCAATTCGTAAGGTACAAATAGTACAAAGGGTATAAGAGTACAAATATTGCGTTAGGAACTAGAGTATGCGGACATAGAAAAAGTACAGTTTAGAGACGTGACATATAAAGAGATATCTTGCATCGTTTTTTTTTTTCTTTTTTCTTTCTTTTCTTTCTTGTTTGTCGTTTTACTTTATCTATCCATTTAGCGAATATCATCGAAATATAATATTCGTGACTTCATCTCGATGAAAGAAAGACTCGCGACGAGACCTTGTCATCTTTTTTAGTTTTTTTTTTTTTTTTTACTTTAACAGGTGCATCAAGAATGTGCATTAAGAATGTAAACACAAAATCAACGGGAAAAAAAAAGAGAAAGAGATAGAGATAGATTAAAATAGAAAAGACAAATTATTTGTACTTTGAAATACGAACTACGAAGTGTAAAGATGATGAAAAATGATGATGATGAAAGGTGAAAAAAGACAAATGTATACGAGATTGGATCTCGTCGCGAGTCTTCAGTTTAATAAAACGTTAACGTTTTCTTCGCGCGTATTATTTTTTTTTCTTTTGTTCGTTTGTTTAAAAATCTTACATCCGATGTTACAATAAATATTATAATAGAACAACGCAATTATAAATATATATATATATCATAATAATATATAAGAAGAGAAACATGTCGACACAACTAGTCTAAACACCGAGAGTATCTTTTCCGTATTTACAACCGTCCTTAGACTAGTCTAATTATATATAATTTACAAAAAATCCGATCGTTCGTTCCAACTGATTAATTAACTATATATTATATATATATATATATATCGTCATTGCGATAAACAGTACGTTATTTAAAGCGTCTAGCACGAAACACGCATTTAACTATTAATGTTTCTTATTATAATATACTCTTACTACGACTTTCTACCCTTTCTCTTATCTCTTTCTGCCACTATGTGCAAAAACATAAATACACGCAAACGCACACACACACACACACAGACAGACATTCTGACACTTTCATTCAACGTTAAACACACATACTCATACACATATAACTTGTATCTTATTTCTTTCTTTCTAACATTCACGTGAGATTTTTTTTGTTTTCTCTCTGGTGTTCATTAGTAGAATTTAATAATAATAATAATAATAATAGAAATTATAATAGTCATAATAATAATAATAATAATAATAATAATAATAATGATAGTAATAAAGATTCGAGTAGGTAATCGCATCTCGATCGCTATCGATCTTGATCCCCATTTTTTTTTGGACAGCACTCTCGACGGATTTTAAGGCTTCGTGATATGATCAGCCATTGTACTCTGTTCCCATTATTATTATTTTCTTTTTTTTTTATTATTTAACTCTTTCTTTTTACTTTTTTTACTTTTTACTTATCTCTGAACGATATCCTTTTTTTCTTCTTTTCTCTTTTTTAATTTTAATCTTTTTCTATTTGACTATATTATATTATATGTATTTTTATGTATGTATGTATGTATGTATGTAGTGTACATATTTATGAATTATTTATATCTCGAGAAAATGACGACGGTTTATCGGTGAGAATGATAGTGGTGTGAAATGTAAATAAAAATGAACTATATTTTAAATATATATATTTTAACTTTATATTATAATATTAAATATTTATATTAAATCGTATATAATTGCGTGTGTGTATCCATCCTACGTGTGAGCGTAGAAATAAAAACTAGACACGTGCTATAGAATTCGAAAAACAAAAAAAAAACAAATAAGAACGAAATAACGCGAATACGTTTATTATCGTATTTAATTACGGATCACATAATATGGCCGATGATATATTTCATCTAAGAATAATTTATTAATATTGTTTATAATTATTATAATCTCGACTATCACTCGCAACCCGTTTTCGTGGATACTTTTTCCATCAATTTTTCTTTTTCATTCTTTTATCTTTCCTTTCTTTCTTTCTTTCTTTTTTATTTGTATTATTAATTATTTTTTATTTATTTATTTATTTTTTTTTCATTATTATTATTATTTATTTATTTTCATTTCTTTAATTTTCGAAAATCACTAACGTGGACGCGACAAGTACTATTTAAGTTGTGTAGTTTGTACTACTTGGAAGACGGATGTCCGTGAGAGCGAAGAAAATGATTACCGATGATAAAGATGATAATAATGATGATTTGATGATTAATTAATTAATTATTATTATTATTATTTATAGGATCATAAAATTGAATAGGTATTACGGAAAAAAGGGGATAACACATTGCGATATTATTCTCCTTCGTGTTAGTTCTTATTAAACGAGATTTGAATACGAAATCGTTATTTGAACAAGTAGTTTTCTTTTTCTTTTTTTTTTCACCGTTTACCATACCCCACATGGTCATCTAATTGACAATTCCGACGAGTATTTAAAATACCGGATCGAAATCATTCAATAAAATCATCCTATCGTATCTACGTACAATTCTATCTAGGGAACGAAGTATAATATCGTTTCCGACGAATCGAACGATCGTTACTTTGAAATAATAATTTGATTCGTGATAACGTGAAAAATGATGCGATTTACGCGTTACGATGACGAAAACGAAAGATACTTCGCTTATTATTTTAAAACTAAGAGGGTAGATAGAGGATGGGAGAGGGTGGGGTGAAGGATTTCAGGAAAACATTATTTCGGAAGGAATATTATCGTTGAATTAAATGAAATACGATGCCGGATCGTTTTCAACTATGGCGTCGAGTTTGGCCGGCAAGGTTTTGGGTCGTTGAGGAGGGGCCGTGGTCTTCCAGACGACTTCACGGGACCCCTTACGTCACATATAGGTTGGTTTCACCTTATACGCTCTCTTCCACACTTCGCAGAGACACACCGTACTGTGAAACCTATAAAATATTGCCAATGGCATGGAAACGTGCGTGATAATGGTCCATGCCCAAAGACCGTAAAAATGCAACTGCACCGGATGCGATTCAGCTCGTGACTTTTCGAGAGTATTGATAGCCCACATAGCTAAATTCGTAACGAGAAGGAACGTGACGATTTCTCTACCAGGTTTTCTTCTTATTTGTTTAGCCGTAGCCACGGATCTTCTCGATGCGTCCAATATAAAAATTGTTTGACAAGTTGTTTGTACTACGCTGGCTAATGCAGTTACCAATACCAGGACGGTGTGTTTCTCCAAAGTAAAGTGTCCACCGATGATCGTAAACGTCGAATAAATGAACATACCGGTTTGCGCTGCCACTAAAAGTATATTGTCCAGTTCCAAATTCCTACCACCGTCGTAACGTAATTTACGCATTTGGAACATTCCTATTAATGTTCCTAATGTGGACATTCCGTAAAGGGTCAACTCGCAAACGTTCACTTCGGTTACCGCTAAGCTTACCAACTCTGGACGAGATATTAGGACGAAGAATAGTATTAAGGATATTATAGTTAACACCAGAATAAAGATGCCGACGAATAGACCTTTGTGAGCACGGGCACAATCGACGCTGTAATGATGCGGCGATCTTCTGTCAAAAACGTTCATATGTTGTATTATTATTATTCTTACACAATTACTAGAATCAAACTCTATTCGATTACCTGTAAGCATGAGCGTGATGACGCGATCCCGGTGGAGTCATTGTTTTGGCAAACATCGTTTTAGATATGTTCTTCCACATGACGTAAAGTATGGCTGCACATATCAAGCTATATTCTATCGTGCAAGGAAAAAGAAAAGGGCTGGCATCCTGTACCAAAGATCCCATGATATTCGTTCTTCTACATTCGAACATATGATGTGGACCCTTCAATCCTCTCGGTATTCTCACGTGTTCACCTTGATGAATATGACTTTGTCCACCGAGATGGAATCCACCCTTTATACCTGAAATTATTCATCGTTACGTTAGTGTTGTGTTTCGGTTATTTGTTCTACCTACGACAATATATGTGAAACATTTTTATTTTACCTAGTCTATGAGAAATCCTTAGAGAATTATTCTCCGGATTGTAAAAAGTTAAAATCTCGTGCTTCGTTTCTTGAACCAATACGTTCAACCAAACTGAGAGATTCGTACCGATCATGTGCATCAGACCGAAACGTGCTACTATCCGATGACGATGAACTTTCATTTGCTGCAACATAAAATCCTTCAATATTTTCGATTATTACTAATGTTTAACGGAGTATAGATCAACGGAGAAAACGCGTTGTTTTAAACTAATCTACATAGAACGTTGATAGTTATGATATCGATCTCGTTTTTCTAATCGATTCGTTTCTCATTTCGCTTTTCCGAGCAAAAGAGAAGATCAAAGAAGAAACTTGCTTGGGGTAAGAGTGGTCTCGGGGTTGTTCACCCTTCTGTTTCATTAACCTCGTGGCCGGTTTTCATCGATGTATAATCAAGCATATTAAATACACAGTTATTATATTACAGAAATATACAAGGGTGTTGTGTGTATATCGATTAAATATATTATTTATTTTCGCGTAAAGAAAAAAACCGAATCTTTCGAAATAAAAAACAACAAAAAATATTCGTTTGATCTCACCTCGTTGTTCAAAAAAATGAAGTACATTTGTATGAAGATGAAAGCCATTCTAGTGGCAGGTGTTAAAGCTAGCATGATGTTGTGACACTTTGTGTTGCGTTCCAATTCGAAATATTGGCCAAATTCAAGGCCGGAATATATCATCGAGCCAATACCAAAGGCAACGGCACCCATTCGAAGATAAAAACTACCATAATGTTGAATCGGTCGTATTATAGGAATATGAGGATATCCTGCATCAGGTGCATCGCTGTCACCCCCAGCACCGCTCGATGATCTCGATGAATCCAAATCGCATACCTCCTTTTGTTTTTCTACGCGAATAAAACAAAAATACAATTCATTGTATCAACTATAACCTAACGAACAAACAAACGAATAGTATAACGTGTCATTTGAATTTTAAAATTTATTTGCAATTATTTAAAAAAATAACAAACAAAATGATGATGTAACTTACTTGACTTTGGTTTGCCATCCCTGAGTAGCATACCGTACATGTACATGAGAAAAATCATGCTACCGAAATATAAATAAAGATAGAAAGCCTCGTAGAATGACGGTGGTATATAGGTTGATATCACTTCCGCCATGGGAAAGGCGATTCCCATTACGACGAGAAGTTTTCCATACAGGGCACTCAGGGTCGTTGCCAGAGCGTCGCTGCGTCAAAAACGGAAATTGAAGTTGAAACGAGGCGTGCGTCTTTCTCGTTTCGTGAACGAGACGAGATGGGAATGGGTATGAGGGGTTTGGGGATGGAATGAGAGAGAGAGAGAGAGAGAGAGAGAGAGAGGATTAAGAGGGTGGAATGAGGGGAGAAAAGCTAGGAAAGAAATGAGGGGGGGAACTAAACCGAAATAAATTCGCGTCATTCCGCGTTTACGGTTTTTTTTCTTCTTCTTTTTCTTCTTCTTTTTCTTCTTCTTTTTCTTTTTCTTTCTTTCTTTTTTCGTCTGGCAAATCGTATGCGAACGCGACGAAAAAACGTTCATAATTTACGACTTTCGCGAGAAAAAAAAGACAGAGTGACAGTGAGAGTGAGTAAGAGAGGAATTTATGATATATATGTATATTGAAGCGTATATTTCAAACCGTAACGATACCCATTGGACACAAATACATCTCTCCAACCCCCGTTTAAGAATTGGCTCAATTACGCGTAATCGCGTGCCTCAACTCCGGTCCGTGTTTAATTCCTAAAGTACCGGTAATTGCAGTACAGACGTCCGTCAGGATAACGCGGAGGATCACGTGAAATTTCCGTGGTTGATATTAACCAAGTATAACCCACCCACCCATCACATCACCACCCTTCTTCCAATTCCTACGTTCTTCATATTCCTATATGAATATGTGCGAATTTATCTACCGTATCCGTAGTTTTTCTTTTTCTTATAATGGAAATCAATAGCTAGGAAAATCGAATGATATTTTAAAAAAATATATATATATATATATATATATATATAATTAGATTTATAAAAATTGATTATCTACTCACCATCCAAGATTCTTCCACTTGCGATCGTCTGTTACCTCGAGAAAGGTCGGTGCCGGATAACAAACCGTTGGTATCGGCTGAGAGGAACATGGTAGAGCCAATGCATACTGAGGTGACCGATGATGGGCACGTGAGGGTGAACTACTACTGTGTCTAGACAGTGTTTCCGGCGAAACGATTACCGCAGATGGCGAGGCCGGTGATGGTAAAGCTGCTGGCAATCCTGGCCAGCTAAACAAATTGACGATTTTTTTGTCTTATTTTTTTTTTTATTATATATAGTACACATATCTTTCTTACATACGTCTTAATTTCCACCGTTTAACCAACCAATCACGATTATCGTCGTCTACCAACGCGAATCACGGTTCCTTTCATTTCTAAACGACTCTAAGGGGAACAAAAATCCTCTTTGCTAAAAGAAAACTCTTTTTGATTTATCCAATAGGAGTTTTATTATTTTTCATCCTCCATTTTTTTTTCATTATCGAATTTCTATCGAAAAAAAAAAAAGAGATAATTCGTCCCTCTCGAGACAGCATGACTGTACTATCATTTTTTAACGTTCCAGATCGATCGTGCTACCACTAATTTTATTTTGTTCATTTTGTCAGATTAAAGAGAGAAAAAGAGATAGGTAGTTGGGTGGGAGGAGGAAAAGAAATAGAGGATAGAAATAGACAAAAAGAAGGAAACATTAGTCCACGGTAATTTCTCGCATTGAAACTTTATTTCAATGGGACATTTATCTGTCATTTGCACGCATACTTCTTTCTCTTTCTTTCTTTCTTTCTTTCTTTCTTTCTTTCTTTGAAAAGAACTTATTATAACTTTAACGAGATTACTCTTATCTATGAATTTAGAACGAGTTTAAATAAGATGAAATAAAATAAAATTTGTTTGAGTTTGAATACGAAATAAAGATAGAAATTAATTACGGGTCTTTCATTATTTTCTATAATACGAATACGTATTTTATATCTACGTGTCTAAAAATAAAAAAAATAAAAATAAATAAAAGAAACAAATAATGCAATCTCGCGTGAGAACTGCTCGTTATTGTCATACCCTTCCCCCCCCCCCACCCCTCCGTCCCAAGAGTGTTGTATACACACGTAGAAAAATTAATGAAATTTTTAATATCTAGACACGACCAAGAGAAAAAAAAAACAACCCCCTATTGCGCATTTCAGTTCTCGTTGCAGCTTATAACTGAAATTATGGTAATAGAGGAAAGGTTTGATATTAAAAAAGAAAGAAAGAAAAAAAATGTGAAAATACTTTTTGTTACGTCAAATCTCAATGGGGAGGGGGGGGGAGAAGAGGAGTTGAACAAGTCGCTGGAGGTTTGCTTTAAGGTCAACACGATGTGTTATAACGTTTGACACATTACATTGACACTGGCTGCAGGAAGAAACCTACTAGTACTGATAGCTTATGCGAGTGTCATTAGATGACGTAGCAAGTAACACTTTCTACCACCGTTTATCTAATAATATTCCTAATTTATTCTCTCTTTATACGTGACACACTCGATGAATTATTAAATTTGCAATTTTTGCTGATAATAATAATAATAATAATAATAATAATAATAATAATAATATTCAGGAATAATATTTTTCTCATGGAAATTTCACAATTTTTCTATTTAGGATATCAAATCGATCGATAAGAAATTAGACATTTTTCGAACGAATCTTCAGATCAATGAATTATTGTATAATGATTCTATAAATGGAATTTGAACTCGTGATTTAGTATCTAGAACATTTACTTGAAAAAATTAGGACGTATCTCGAAAAAGCATCGACCAATGTGATTCGTCAGTTAAATCCAGGTCAATTGTATTACAGATAGAGAGAGAGAGAGAGAGAGAGAGAGATAAAAGTATATTTGTCGTGGACGATTTAAACGTTCCATATAGAATCTTGCAAAAAGGAAATCGAATTAATATCAACGATATTATATATTTTCAATTTAGAACATCCCCTAGAGAATCTTATTTTTAAAGTATGTAATATTTAATATCCGAACTACATTCGAATATTATTTTTTCCTCGATCAATATTTTCTTCTATATATTTTTAACGAGGTGTAATAAGGAATAAGATCAATTAAAAAAAAAAAAAATAAAAGAAAATAATAACGAAAAAGCCAGACGTATATAGTATAAGTCAAGTTGACTTAATTTTGTATTTTTTTTTTTCCTACGTTATTATACGAATACGTGAAAATGATGTGTCGTAGGTTCATTCGAAAGGACAAACAGGTATACGACAAGTTACGTAAATAAATATACTAGGGTTGGATACTTAAGTATACACATGCATAGTAGTAAAAAAAAGTTGCATGGTATGGTGGTGGTGGTGGTGGTGGTGGTGACCTATCCAATAGAAGCAACGTTCTTTCATAGTAGGTTGGGAAAGAAGCTTTGAGGAGTAAGAAGAAGAAGAAGAAGAGTACCTCGTCCTTTTGACGAGGTACTCGCGCGACGAATTCACCACGCACGCACACCCCCTAACAGGAGGAGGAAGAAAGAAAGAAAGAAAGAAAGAAAGAAAGGAAAAAAAAAGTGCTCAGGTTTGGAAAGGGGAGAGGAAGAGAAGGAGGATTTGGTGCGAGAGGAAAGGGAAAGAGAAAGAGGAACATAGGGCTCATCTCTCGTGTACCTTCGAAGCTTTTTGAAATAATCACGTAGTGTTGGAGAAGCAGCCGAGCATGAGAGGGTGCTGGTATAGGGGGAGGGCAGTGAGGGGTTGATTCACCGGTTGAGTGCTGCTCCTCTCATTGTAGAAACGTAGCATGTCCGTGGCTTGAGAAGTTACCCTTCCCCACCCATCCACCCTTTTCTCTCTCTTTCTCTTTCCTACTATTCGTTCTCATTCTCCTCTCAGGGAATCTCCTGTCCTTCGCAAAAACCCTTCAGGCTATCCCTCAGGAATCCTTCTTCTCGTTCCTTTATTCTTTTTTTTACTCGTACTACTGCAGTTTTACGAAAGTCACATTTTGTTGAATTATTTTCTCTCTTTTTATTTTTGTTTTACAGGTGTTCAATAAATTGAAAAAATAAATCCTCTTAATAGTATCATTTATATTGTTTCACTATTTTCTTTATACGTTTGTATATAATTCTTATTAGAAAACGAAACAATATTAACTTTGTTAAATTCTCTTTTCGGTCCAAACCAAAAATTCAATAAACCTTTATTGGTTATTTTTTTTCTTTTTCCCCCCTTCTAAAATAGAACAATTTTATTTTCTTTAGATCTTATTCTATTATTCCAAATTGACCATTACTATTTTTTATTACTATTATTATTATTATTATTATTATTATTATTATCGATAGTAACCCTTTTTCACCGACAAGGGAAAAAGTTTCTTCAAAGCGAAGTTTCCTCTTCCTCTTCCTCTTTTTCTTCTTTTTGTCGAAATAAACGGCTCTCTTTCACCCCTCTCTCTAAATATCTCTCCTCGAGGAGAAATCCTCTCGAAAGTGCTCTTTCTCTCTTTCTCTCTCTCTCTCTCTCTCTCTCTCTTTCTCTCTATCTTATCTCCCTTTGCTTCCTACTTTGTAATCCGTTTCGCGTTAAGGACCAACGATCTCATCGATTCGATCGCTTTTTCAGGTTACTCTTCAAACCCTTTTCACTATCATCATCGATTCGATACTTCAAACGTCTTTTTCATACCTCCTCTACATATATAAATCTTACTTTAACCTACCATCCATTCACATACACACACACGCACACACATCTTCTCGTATATATACGTGAGATAACGCGTGAAATTATTATTCTATTTCATACTCTTATTATTATTTTTTTTTTTTAATACAACACAACCACTACAAAGATAAAGAAAACGTATTAATGAAATATTTCGAAGATTATCAAAATTATCTGATCTCGTTTGAATGAAACGATAGTTAGAAAGAAAAAAAAAAGAAAAAAAAAGTAATTAAATAGGAAAGAAAATGGATGTGGGAGGGAGGAGGTAGATGGAGGAATTACGTAGAGAGAGTACCTGAGGGAAGTCTCCTTGATGAGCATATCCGTGACCTTGAGTAGCGATTTTTTTTCTCAGTCACCTCGTTGAAAAGGATTGGTAAAAATGTATTAGAGATCCCTCAGCAGCGGATGACACAATCACGGCCCTCCGGCTCGTGAGACGATACTCTCGGACCCCGCATTACAGACTGAGGCCCTCCTCCTCGTCATCGCGAACTAAGTTCGTAACTAGTCTCATATATCTTTTATCCTATATATATATATATATATCTTTCTCTCTTTTTCTCATTCACCCCCTAACCATTATCTCTGGATACACCACGACCGTTTGATATCGAGCTCGTTAGCCACAGATGAGATTGGCAGTGCCGTAACCTACGACTACTGGTTAGTGGTAGTCTTCTCTTGGTAACATCATTTTCACAAAAAAATAAAAAAAATAATACGATTCCAGTCGTGATCTTTTATTTGTATTTAAGAAATTGAAATTGTATATTATTTTATACGAAATATTGTTAAAAGGGGTTTTTGATATCATATAATAATTTTTTGTGTAATTTAAATAAATCAAAATGATTAGTTTTCGAAGAAAGAGGAAGAGCAGGAGGAGGAGGAGGAGGATCTTTTTTGATCAAATTTTGTCTTATTGATCAGAAGATTTGTATAAATTTGTATAAATGAGAAAATATAATCATATAGTAATATAATTTTCGAATAAATATTTCGAGAAATTCGATAACCCGTTAAAAACTTAACCGTGATTAAATTAATTAGTTGAAAGGATCGTTGTTGGAAAGGTTAGTTTGAAAAAGGTAGATAGAATCGATTTCTCATTTTTTCGATAGACAGGTTCATCGTCTGACTGGAATTTTCGAATATTATACTTCAGGAAGTTTGGAAAATGGTCTCTCTACAGTTGCTTGAACAAATTTACTTTAACAGTTACTGACTGGGAAACGAGTTTTCAAGACGAACTATCGTTAGTACTTTAGTTTGTTGATTTATACCTATAGTTAAAGTTATCTATACAGGTGCATATATGTATATATGTATTAAGTATGCGTCTCCAATGTGTATGTTTCTACGTTGATTGAATCTGCATGTAAATCGACGGAATAAGCTGCTTTCCGGGTAGATCGAAGAGAGAGAGAGAGAGAGAGAGAGAGAGAGAGAGAGAGAGAGAGAGAGAGAGAGAGAGAGGGAGAAAAGGGGAAGGGGGTTCGGAGGTGAGAGGGTTAAGTCTACTACTAGCTCAGGACACTTCACCGGAAGCAAAAGGGATGCTCTCTCTCTCTCTCTCTCTCTCACACACACACACACACACACACATAAACTAAATATATATATATGTATGCGAAGGTCGTTCGAAAGCCATAACGAAGTGACAGGTCAATATTAACCTTCGCTGATGTTGGAACGTACGCCCTGGCTTGCTCTCCTATCTGCGAGTTCCTCTTCGATATCCGGCGGAAGTAATCGAGTTCTCTATAAACGAGCCGATCGAAGTTAAATCGATCAAGCGAGAGATGAGAGAAAATGGCAGTAGGATTAATAAATCGATCAATAGATCGATTTGTTTTTCGGCTACAAAAAGATTGGGTGAGGGGAGCATAAAATACACGGATAGTTTAGGTATAAGGGGGATAGTGTGGGTGGATCTTTTCTAGATATATATATATATATATATATTATACACCTATCAATATAGTAGAAGGTGTTGTTGTTATTAGAGAAATGGATAGTGTAATTGATATTCCAATATAATAGTTGGTTAGGGATCACTCAAAAATCGTTTTACCGTAACCGCTTACCTACAAATCGTAGATTTGCACCGTGAGTACAGATGAGGGGAGGAATACGCGTTAATCGTGGACAGTGATTAATGTCGTGCGGGAATGCGAATGGTCCACGTACACGTTCTGAGAGAGAGAGAGAGAGAAAAAGGGGTTGGCAAACGTGAACGTGGGCTGTATAAGGGGAACATAATTCGCGTCACGATGCCGCGGTCAAAGTCATGAAGTCGGGATCGATATACGGAACAATTCAAAACAAAAACAAAACGTACGGATGTTGAATAAATGTTGCAAAAAGGTTGTAATGCATTTTTCGTTTCTTTTTTTTTCTTTTTACTTATTAAATATTTAAATAGAGAAAATTTCTATACGCCTTTTTATACGAATGTCGGGTAGGTCTAATCTTTTTAGCAAACACATCGAGGGACCAAAGTTTCAGTATATATATATACATATTTCTTCCTAGGTGTACTTGCACCGGTGATCGTTTTTTTTTTCTTTTTATTTTTAGCAAGACTCGCTCAAGTTTAAGCAGCAAAACGAAGGGGTTATAGCAAGGAAAACTTGAAGAAATGGAGAGGTCGACAGCAAGCAAGCAGAAGTAAGGGGGGATCGTTAATGGTCGGAAATATTGATAACGAGTAAAAGGGGTGAGAAACGCGTGCGACGATGATACGAAAAAGAAGTGGGTGGTATTAGCAAACGAAAAGAAAATCCTTGAACTACTCACTCTTGCCTAGTTGCCGTGCCTGCAGCGGCTGCTGCTGCGGCAGCTGCAGTTAAGAAATTTCCAACACCTGTAGTCGTTGACGACGGACTAGAAGTTGTCATGACGGTAGTCGTATTCGTCATAGTGATCATCATACCGGTCGTTGTCATCGTCATCATAGTCGTGGTCATCGTCGTCATAGTAGTCGTCGTACTTGCTATGCTAGCTTTATCCAAAATATCCATACTAATTACAGGAACGTCGGTGATACGCGAGGCAGCATCCAATGCTGCTGCAGCTTCCTCCTCCTCTCTCAATTCTTCCGATGCTTCCTCCGGTATGGTGGTAATATCCTCCATTAACGGTAGGTCGCAACCATTTTCGTCCAACTGATTTTCCAACAACGAATCACAATTGTCACCTGGCCTGGCTACTTCTTCTATGTCCGAATCAATACCCTATTAAAAGTAAAACAAACAAACATAAAAATAAATGAAGAAAATAAGCAATACAACATTTGATCGCTACACCACGTTATACTGGGACCGATGACAATTTCATCGAATACATTGAAAATCGATAAAGTTCGAACTAACCCCTTCCCACATACTATATGATTCTTTCACCATTCTCCTCCGATAGTTAACTGTCTCTATATGTATTTCAGTCTTTATCGAAGATTTATTAAAAGTCAGAAAATGTCATAGGGTTTTCTTTTTTCTCTAAGAATGATTATATCACCTGGTGTATGATATTTTTAACAAAATTTATTCCGATCAATGGGATAGAATAATAATAATAATAATTCCTATGAAGAGGATAGTCTTTCAGTAAGAGCAATGATAGAAAAAATGAAAAGAAAAAAAAAAAGAAAAAAACAATCTATGAATGTATATAAAGAGAAAAAAAGATATGATAGGAAGTAGGAGGTAGCACCCCCTCGACGATATTAAAATGGTATATCCTGAAGAGCTAGAGGGGTTCTTTTAATAACGTCTAGGAACGATCATCTCGTGTTAACGAGCTAACGATAGACGATATCACGAGGATGCCAAAGGCAAAAGCAAGGTATCATCCTAGTTGCTGTATATACCTGAGCGAAGTCCATGTAAAAGGAGTCTCGGGAGTCCGAGCTTCCACGTCGAAGCCGGAGGCTAAGATCCGGTGAGCTTTCTCCCATCTTGCTTATCTTCTTTCTCTGTCTCTTTCAGTTTCACCCCTCTCTACCCCAACAGTAGCTAGCTAGGTCTCTTCTCTTCTCTGCTTTGCTCTTCTCTTCTCTTCTATCTTGCTTTCTTCTTCCGTTCTTCTTCTCTCTCTTTCTCTTTCCTCGTACTTCTCTTACACGCTTTGGCTCATCCACCCCTCTCTAACACCAACCCCCTTTGTCTTTTACGAGCTCCTTACTCCACGGACGGGGAATTCTAAAGAGGGTTGGCCCTGCACACACGATCCACCGGGTTTGTAGCCTGAAAGAATCGCCCTTGAATGACAGATCGCCTTTCCTACCATCGAAACGAGGCTTCTTTTCCTTTCTACTCGTTGTCGTCGTAGTTAAGAAAAAAAAAAAATTCAAAAAATTACAGAATGATTAGAACGAAATTCAAATCTACGTTGATTAAAAGAAGAAATTATATTTGTTTATAAGTAGATGATACTTTGTATTAATTAAGATATTAGGTATTGTGATTAAAAATAGAAATGAAATTAGAAGGTGATATACCTACCTCGAAAGCTCATTTGCCTATTAACGTAAGTTCCTCGTTTCATGGTCCATCGGCGTTTGGTTATTGTTGTTGTGTTGTACACGCTATGGATGCTGGAGTTCGAACGTCAATGAACGTTATTCCAGCGTACGTATGACATCGTTCAGAACGCCATTCCACGTTTGGACCCTTCTTCACTTCTTCGAATGTTTTACGACTCCTACGCGTGACATCAAATGTTTCCTCGTCGGACGACCCCCGTGTTGTACGTCAGGGAAATATTCGTTATACTAAAAGATATCAAACATTTCTCTCTCTCTCTCTCTTTCTTTTTTTTCCCTCTCTTGTATTTCTTAATTTTTCTTTTATTTTCGTTTACATTTCCTTTCCTTCTTACACATTCGATACAAAATTGTATTATAATTCAATTTGATAAGATAACATCGATGATGATATATTTGTTGAAGATCTTTTTTCTTGTATTTTTTACGAAACAACAGAGTATAGAAGAGAGAAAAGAAAATGTTCTATTTCCTGATAAACATACATATAATAAATGCGTTTCCCTTTAACAGGGTAGAAATATATACACAGAGAGGGTATAGTTATAGCAAGCTTTTCCCAGAATTCCGCAGCGCAACGATTTTCCGTCGTTTCTGTTACGTGCAGGGAAAGGCAATGCATTTCCCATAGCGTTCATGCTTCCTGGTAGTTATGTTTTTATATCGACAATACTGCCTTTTCATAAACTTTCTTCATTCGACTATACATACACTATATATATATATATATATATATATTTATATAATATA